TCCTAAACTGTAGTATATCCTTGCTTTGTTAATCAGCTCTTGTAAGAGTATTGGACATTTAAGAATATCTGCATGTTCGTAAATTTGATATATGGGTCAAGCGTTTCGTTTCTTTGAAGAATTCGCCGATAATTAATAGCTATCCCGTGAGTTTATAGAAATTACATTTATTTTTGCATAATGTTGTTAATTATTAAATTTTGAACTTACTATACGATATTGTTACTATACGATATTGGAATTGATTTAAAAAGATGATATCACTTAATCGCGATTAATTGTTTCTCGAGTATTTTCGGTTTATGAATCGATAATTTATGACGCTTCTCAACAATCATTAAAAATATTTATTTATTAAAAGGAATTGCTAAGAAAAAATTGCATTTCATAATTTGACATTTTATGAAAAAATAGAATTCTATTTCAGCTTCGTTTTCATCCTTTATTGGTGTAACAACTGAATTCGAACGTTCGGAAGTACGAATAATGTGTATTTTAATTTCATTTCTTGCGGCCAAATTGACATAATTATTCAATAAACTTCAAAGAACGTTAAGTTTTAGCAATAATTCCCAGATAAAATTTCTATTCCCAAATCTTTTTCAATATTTCAATGGCCTAGTATCTACATTAATTTAATGATATGATATTAATAATCTTATTTAAGTGAATTAATTTGCCGAACTAATGATCAAAGTATTATTAAAACATTATGCAATGTAACGTGACACAAACTATCATACTTAAATTTTTTTTGAATTTTTTCGAAATAGCCTCGTCAACTCCCATTTAACCAGTCTTTAACTTTTGGATGAAGCCGTTGCAAACTTAGATTTTCAGAAGTACCGCGAACAAAAAGGCAATTTGGCATTTACAAGATGGTTTCTGGATACTTTGCGACACTTTCGTGACATATAGTCCGAATAAGAGTTTTCATGTGTTAGAGTAAGCGATTTTTAAATATTTTTTTTTGTGTAAAATAAAAAGTAATTAAGAATTGAAAACATATATAATGATCATAAGAAGTTTAATTCTAAGCCCAAATTAAGTTCCAGACGAACCTAAATTGTTTGGTTGGTTATCCAAAAACTCGTTTATCAATGTGATAAAGTTCGTAATGTTTAGACGTCTTCCGGATGTTTTCATTAGATTTTTTAAGAAACTCACACTTGATAAAAATGTTGTTAAGCTTAAACTGTTCGTCGTTAAGTTAACAAAGATTATTTGCTAGCAGGGAGTTTAAGTACGTCTAAACTATGGAAGAAATAAACACGAATAATTAAATTGAAGGGTCAGGTCGTCTTTATTGATATATATTTAAAGAAGAATGAATTGTTTATCGAGCAAAGATAAGTTTTTGAGATAAATAGTATTGAGTTTATTAGAGATTGTAGCGTCTCTGCCCTTTTATCTAGTCAAAGATACAAGATATTTATATAAAATAACTCAATATGAAAAAGATATTTAAGAAAATAAAGAAATATAAGAAATATAATAAAATAATGAAAATAAATATATTAAAGAAAAGTGTGAAATTAGAGATGCTAAGAAATTAGTGAAATTAGAGAAATCTGAGAAACGGTAGAAAGTGATCGACAAGATTACCATTCGTCAATTATGCTTGGCGCAGTATCGTGCATCATAACAAGACTATCACTAACAATGTTCTGTCTTAGACCTAATAACTATGACCTTATTACCAGAGGATCTACTAAGACCAATGATATTTTAGAGTTTACCCGAAAATTTGAGAGGAATTCTCATTTTTTATCGATCTCCAACAACTTTATATAGGGATAATGAATTTTTTTTGGAATTGTTAATAGAAAAATATTCATCATTTTCCGGAAAAGATTGCATCGATCATCAAGTAATTCGTAATTTTCTTGGTGACATGAATGAAATGCTTCATTATAATTAATCGTAAACTCTCTTGGGATTAAAATATAAGGATAACTCTTTTATAGTACAGCATAAATCTCCCAGATTGTCACATCATATTTCTTCCAATACAATGATAGCTCAAGAAATGGAATATATAGCAAAACGTTGATTTGTTATTCTAAAAGATGATATAATCATCAACTCTAAAATGAATATCAAATTATTCATTTATTCATGAAAGTGAAATTTAAATTATCTGGATACGAATGTTCCTAAACTCCATATCAAGTTGATGATATCCTCAAACTATGCTCTACGTTAACCTTTAATTTTTGCTAAGGTCATAGTATGCCCGAGATATTATAAACATAAAATGCATATTGCTACTTTATGTATTTAAATTTATAGAAAATGTATTGCAAATTCAAAATAAAAAAAATCAATGATTTAAAGTAGTCATTTATGTATTCTTTGCATTAATATATAAATATTCCTAATAAACATATAGTAAATACATAATGAATATAAATGTAGTTACTGTAACCCAGTCCGAATTCACCAAATCTGCTCCAAATTTATAAAAAGAGAAGGAAAATGTTAATAACGTTCCCTGAAAGTAAAATAAATTTTTTAATAAAGAGAAAATTCAAATAATCTTACATTAATCCTTTCGTGAAGAATATGATAAAGTATTTCTCCTTCGATTTTTTTAAGATTCTCCGATATAGTACAACATTATCTGACGGTAGTTCAGCAAACGAAGCAACTTCGAGGAAATTCAATTAGGAAACGAAATAATTAAAAAAGAAGATTTATTATTTCACCTTTCAAAATTCCTAAATTTTAAGAAAAGAAAAATAAAGGTAGCACAAGTACACAAGTAAGAAACGATAAATACGAAATAGACAAAAAAAAGTAAGACTTATGCATTCATTTACAATATATTTAAATGGCTTTAAAAAAGGAGTCATTTTTTAAATAATGAATATTATGATCACATCTTACATTACAATAATGCACAAACTGAGCCTTTCTAACTTCATCTATGACTGTTAAGGAAAATTCTTGCGATAATAATCATCATGGCGAAGGACAAAGATCGGATAATCAATTTTCCATGTTCTTGTGGGCAATTGAGGTAAAAAAAACAATAGTTATATTTGTCATTACTCTTGTGCTTGAAATATCTTTGTATAATTTTACCATAATCGGCCACTTGAATCGTAACTGCATCATTCTTAATTACTTGCATCATCATTTAGTTTATCTTGCATTTAAGATGCATATACATAAATATTGCAAGTTTGTTGACTAGTGATGCGTAGTATCCAAAGCAAAAAAAAAAGCTATCATAAGCTAAAGCCAAGTTAGTGCGAAATAAATCTGTATCAATATCAATTTTTATATGCGAATCGATACTGGCTTTCTTAGATTTATATTTTGAATAGTGAAAGGACTATGGAAAATTATTAGTGTGTTACCTTCTGATTCTTCATAAACTAGTTTTTGAAAAATCTCGAGATATATTCATAAAATTAATGCTAGATCGTAAGTTTCGAGGATCGATTCCACAATCTGCTCTGCAAGGTGCCGGATGGATTACAGAGTCGTTTAACGTTTTAATAAGTTAAATTCAATTTCTTGCAATTGGTACAAGATACCATATTTTTAAAGAAACAACATATCATTGTGTAATGATAAATAAGAATATTTATTTTAGAAAAATTGCTTATTTTAAATGTCAGTTCAGTTTATTAATATAAAGATAAGATGTACATATTTAACTGTACTATGAAGATGTATCTTTAAAATTCTGATCATTCATTCGGATTTCTCTTTTTTCATAAGATAATAGTGTTGAATCATTAAATCTTGTAGCTTTTATTAATCAAAAAAATATAATTAAAATGTATAAATAATCTAAATATATGCATTAAAAAAAAATGTATGTATTAGTTAATTTATTTGTTGAAAATTCATTTCTAAATTCTTGAAGTTGATGTCTTTATTGTAAATATAGAAAACATAATTGGATTCTTGTTCTTAATTCGCTTGGAATCCTTGCACAATTTCCATCTGCTTTTAGCTTTATTGTAACGTAAATTGCATTGCTTCAATGTGATAAAAATTAATATAACATTAAAGTCATGCAGAAAAGAAAAAATGTACTAATAATTCCACCGCTGTATATATAATACACAATGAGATAAGCCTGTTATTCCATATGAAGTTAATAATCACATGCGCTTACGTGCATGTGATTATATCTATATCCCGTGAATAACCTTGTTATCCTTCACATTGTTAGCTTAAACGGTTCATCGTTAAGTTAACTAAGATTATTTGCTAACAGGGAGTTTAAGTTCGTCTAAACTATGGAAGA